AGCATTATAAACTCAAGTAACCTCAATCTCGCTTTAGTGCCTTATAAACAAAAAAAAAGCCAAAAAAAAAAAAACTTAAAAAAAAAAAAAAACTACGAAGTCTTGCTACATAGTAAAATTTATTTGTGGGGGTGTTTTATTTTGACAAAGAAATGTATAAGAAGTACATGTGTATATACGTACGTACAAGAAATCAAGTATTGTACAATTTCGAAATAATGGGCATGAATACGTATTGTATGCATGCATTATTGATATATGTGATCATCACATTTCTATATCATCACATCACGTGGGTACATGGCTTTAGCCATCCCCCTAATTGTGTAACTTTTTTTCTGATAAGTTTTTAGATCTAACGAATGGACAGTATAAAAAGAAGCAAGTTTCTATCTTAAAATAAGTTAGCAATAACATTATTTTTTTTGCTTATATTTTTTTTAAGTAATTTGTATTATTTTATTTACTTTAGCTATGAAACTGAATTTTTCTTACTATGATTTTTTTGTATTTAGGTGTGAAAAATGAACAGTACTAAAAAAACCACCACTACCAAGACTAATGACATCAACACTATCCTTAAGACTAATGATGCTACTATCATAAGTAATAACACTACCACCTCTATAACTAATGATAGTAACTCCTCTGAAAACTATTATGTCTCTCAAACACTGCCAAATCCAAAACCTAACCAAAGGATATCTAATTCCAATTGTCAACATAGAAGTAGGAAAAACAGATATGGTAGGAGGTAACTTTTATTAAAAATTACTCTTTATATATTTGTAAAACTAAGGTTAAAACTCATTTTATCAGACCATATCTGTGTATTAAATTAGACAATTAAACCATGATCTCAGAGAAAATGATGACTATAATGTTGATGAAGGCAGACCCTTAGACAATTTTTCAGAAGAAAATTCAAAATGGTGTGAGAAAAATGATTTCAATAAGTATGAGAATCCTGGACAATAACAAAAAAGGCTAAATCAAAATTAATAAATAGTTTATATTTTTGTTTGCAGTATACAACTGTTGTGTATTTTTTTTTATTTGTATATTGTTGTTCTGGCAACATTTTTATGAAATAAAGAGGGAGTCCTATAGGCTTGCCATTTTTTATTTTAATATGAATTTTGCAATGCAGTTTGCGATTATTAATTAGTAGAAATAATAGATTTTTTTATTAACTTATACTTTTACAGTCACTATTTGGATTGAATTCTGATATTTATTCTCCTAACATATAAAATGATATGTTTTTGTATTGACATAATCATCACTCTCCCATAAACCCTCTATATGATTTCTTATATTTTCTTTTTATAGTTTTTATTACATAAAAAGCAGAGTACAGATCTATTAAAATCAAAATAATTACTATATTTAAAACTATGTTTCAAAGTTAAATAAAGAAATCGCTTTAATACTATTTTAATAACATGTTTTTGTTTCTCTTCTGGGTCTTTAGATAGAATAGAAATTGATGATTAAAGTTTGGATGGTGTAGGCTGAACATTTATTTGTAGTACAAATAATGTCTTTTCCTCAAAAGATATCTGTATGAATTAAGCATAGATTTTTCCTATTCTTCTATAAGATTATCAAGCTATATAGTACTCAAACCACTCTTTACCTTACTGCGACGTAATAACTCTTCACCAACTAGCCTATCCTGTTCTGTTAAAAATTGATAATATTTTCTAGTATCTTCTTTCCTTTCTATTCTTCTATGATAAAAGTATATATCTCTTTCCAAGTCAGCAGGAAAACAATCTATAGACCACCTGTTTCTTTCAGCCTCTGTAATAATTAAAAATTCTTCAGGATTTATTCCATATTCTATGGCATATTGGTGTAAGCCAACATCTGGCTAATAAATTTTATTTGAATTAGTGTTAGAAATTAGTGATTGAGTTTTGTTTGATATACTTATCTGAATTTCTGTATAGCAATTATAACCTTCTTTTAATTGATACAAAAAGGACAATTAAGAAAATAATGATCATCTTTACCTAGACAACTCCAGTTACCCATATTTCTCAATGTGTATGAACTTTTTTATATACTGGGTATGAGGCCTCAAGGTCTGTATATTTAAAATATCCTGGTATCATGCAATTGAATTAGTATATAATAAGAAAAAAAAATATTTATATACTGCATCATGGATTATATCTTTCTCTTCTAGAAATTTAGAAATTTTGATAATACTATTCTGTGAAGAATTAGAAGATTGGGATTTAGATGATGTACTTATTACATCTTTTAATAATTGTCACAGCTCATGCCCAGTTTTTTTTTATATTTTTTGTATAAGTTAAACCAAATTTTATTTGTTAAAATATTTGGTAAACCAGTTAATTTAGTATACTAATTCAGATATTCAGGGGTTAGTATTTTATTAGTCTCAGGCATTTTTCTTTTTATATGATTGCAAACAATTTAAATTATAGTAAGTAATAGTTAATATAAATTAATCATGTAAAAAATATTGTGAGCAAATATAAATAATAAAACTATACAGTTATCTCAATTTTATGCTATTTATATTTAATAAAGTAAGATTCAGATTTATATCTACTTTTTACACTTTCCTTATCATCATGATCTAAACTGTATAATAGGCAAGTCCTTTTTGGACTGCATGATGTCTCATCAGTAATGCTATAATAATCAAAATTTTTACTACTAAATTCTTTATATAAGGTAGGATATTGATCTAATGTTTTGCTACAAAAATAGGATTGATTATAAGTTGGTTTAGATTGAGGTGCTTTCAGATGAATATATGTATTAGTCAGATTAATTTTGAAGTTACATGACTCTGATCATGAAGAATCTTTACGGTTTTATTGTGTGAACTTGTTACTGAATTCACATAATCTATTATATCTTGGATTTGTTAGTAATTAAGGCTTGAAATGGCATCTGCATTATAAGAAACCTGTTTAATTTTCTCTAGTTCCAATGTATTAAATAATTTATATAATTTTCTAGCTCTAAGAATTTTTTGACACAAATTCACATCTGTTATTTCAAGTAGAAGCTGTTTGATTTCTTGATATACTATAAATGTTGCAGTTTTTTTCTTAACTCTACTAGCAACAAGGTTATAAATTCTTTTGTTATATTTTTCTATAAAGTAGCACTAGTATAAAATCGCTTCTTGACCAAGTTTATTAGCTTTCTTGAATATACAAACTATATTTTTTATGGATTCTGTTTTTCTAAAGTTTGATCTGATGTAGATGTATATACAGATGACAATAACTGTTGCTTTAATTCCTGTTTCACAATTATATTTTTATTCAACTTGATAATAACTTCATTATGTTGATCAGATTTAAGTTCTTCTATACCATATGACTCTGATCATGAAGAATCTTCACAGTTTTCAAGATTACATATTAATTTTGGTGCATTAACTTGCAGTTGCTTTGGTAAGATGCAATATACTAATAAGTCTTGCTTTGAAGTTAATATGTCTATAACCTTAGGAATTTTAGTCACGTTCTAATAAATTAAAAGTGCGTTTTGATCTTTCTGTTTCTTTTCTTACCTCTTCTCTCTAATCTTATTGCTAATGCTTTTCTTATACGCTTTATTCAAGAAATTCACTATTTCCTCATCATTACTATCAAGGTTACTAGGTGCTCATTCTATTTCATTATTGAGTTGGTCTATTACAGAATCAGGTATATTAACAGTTGATACTATTACTACTGATATTGCTTTTTCATTATTTTGTATCTGACCAAATGCCAATGCCATCCTATCTACCGCTGAATCCTGTTCTAATAATACAAGTTTAGCCTTAAGCTCTCCAACTCTAGACTTGAGTTCAGCATTCTTAGCATCATGCCTTGCATTCTCTTCAATAATTTGCCTCAACCTCACATTCTCAACCTCAATCTCAGCAAATTTTAATAGCTTCTCTCTAAGTTCAAAAATTTCAGTATTCTTCTTCCTAAGTTTGGCAATTTTAGTCAAGAGCTTGGCATTTAATTCTCTTAATGAATCATTGGATTGCATATTCAATGATAATTTTTTATATAAGATAGAATAATTCAAAGATCATTAACATAGATAAAAAACAAGATAATAACCTCATCAAAATTATTAATTTATTGATGTAAAAGAATAAATTACAAGATTCAGTAATATATAAACTTGGTTTATAAAGTGAAATAAAGTTTTTATACTAATGCCTATGGGTGTTCACTCATCTAAAGCTCTAGGCTATCTATATACTAACACAATATTCTAATATTAATTCTAATGTGATTTTATTTATCACTAATATTGGTATTTTGGATAGAATAAAAGGTTGTTAATTATGCATAAAATATGCAGAGTCAGAAATAAATTAATTATATTGATCATAGTAACGCCACTAATAATTTATATTTTTTGACTTCCATAATGTTAATTAGTTAATATGTTCCTTGAGATCCTAAATGAAAAATTATCTATTAGCTTGTAAGCCCAGAACTGCAAATGTATAAACAGTCAACACAACCAAAAAAAAATGTTTGTATCTTTTAAAATTGCATAATATCTCATCAGAAATATTTATACTTCATATTGTGGTAGATGTTCTTAAAAAAAATTAAAATTGGATATGACAGAAAGGAATTATCTAGGGCTTGAGATGTTTTTTATTTAAAATAATTACTATATCATTAAAAATAAAGGTTCTCTTCTGGTTTTTAATTATGTATATGTTTTTTGTTCCAATATCTTTGTATAAAAAAATATTACTTAAGTCATATTAGTCATACAGATTAGACATGGCTTATTATTAGTTTTGTGTCTAGCCCTAAAAAAAAGAGCAAATTATATATAAACTCAGCAGATAATTCTGCCATCAATCTCATTTACAAGTATTTGT